ATATATATATATATATATATATATATATATATATATATATATATATATATATATATATATATATATATATATATATTTGCAAACATTCAATTTTTTCAAGTTATTTCGTATGCGTGTAAAATGATTATCGATTTGCGCGTGTATGTGTCTGCATAAACGTTGAACTATCAGCAGTTTCAAAATATAAAAGAAATAACGCGTCGAACATTTTTAGACCCGTTATTTCTGTAAATTAGTTCCAAAGTTTCCGCTACGAGCCTTCAATGAGGAATTGAGGTAGTGATGGCTATAAACAGAGGCGTTTTTTTTGTTTCGTGACGACGGTAACGTTTGGTTTGTTAGTTTGGTCCGCTTAACGCTCGCAACGTCGCGAGCGTCATTTATCTTCGTCGTTCGAGGCGTTGTGAACGTTAAGTAGACCAACTAATCAACCAAATACTACCGTGGTCACGAAACGGAAAAACGCTTTAGCATCTAGTCGATGAGTTAAATTTCAGCCAAATCGGAGCTGAGGACTCTAACTATACTTAAGATTTTTTAGTTTATCAATCATTTGGATAAGCTGTCTTGATACATATGCGCATTAGTAATTTAATCGAAACTAAAGATATAAAAGTAACAATATACCTTAAATGCTGTACGTATGTAGCGATTAGTACGCGCTCTCTGAACCAGTTTTGATACTAATTTTACTGCTTCAAAATAAGGCTGCGTTCCGAAATGCACTGCCAGTACTGAAAATCTATAGTTCATGTTACGTATATTATAGGATTTCAGTACTGGCAGTAAATTTCGGAACGCAGCTTAAAGCTTTAGTATTAGTCACCCCGCAGCCCTTTGGGCTGTTACAAATGTTAAGTGGCTAGGATTGGTGTGCCAGAAATTTTGTAAGTTTTTATGAAATTAAGACTTTTCATGTGTGTTGATGTTTACTGTATATATAATTGCGTTTTTATTATTATATTTATAGTAAAGTAATGATACACAATTGAAGCATTGTTTATTCAGCTTGCGCGTAATCGTTAATTAAAACCAATATAAACTTAACCTAAGATTCGTGATTTTAAATTTTTAAATTCTTTTGGTGTGTGTTGCACATTAGACACAGTGAATGTACATTTCTAAAGTGCACCCAAAATGCTTTATTATAAATTAATTCTTGTTTATTTGTGCATTTTTTTAGTTCATATATTGAAATTGTCTTTTTTTCTAGAGATAACAAAATATGGCTCACAAATCTCCCATAAGAGACCATCTTAAGAAGCCTAACACAGATATTGATCAAATACAAGATTCAATTAAATTAGTCAAAGATGGTATGTTAAGTTTGAATGATGCTTCTAAACTCATTGGGGTCCCAAGAAAGACACTTTACCGTCGCCTTCAAAGTTACATAAATGAGGGAAAAGACTCTAAACTTCATGAAACCAAATTGCGAATGACTTTTGATATTTTTACTAAAGATGAAGAGCTTCAGCTTCTTAATAATATAAAGGATTATGTATTGGCATATAAAGTATTTTCACTGAAAGCTGTTCAAGAGGTTGCTTATCACTTTGCGAAACAGCTTAACAAAAAGCTCCCTTTTTCATGGGAGGAACACAAAATGGCAAGTGTAAGTTGGCTGCAAAAATTTCGCAAGAGATATGATGGACATATTTTGTTTCAAGATTCTGAAGGAACTTGTATTCGTATAGTCGGTCCACCAAGAGACCAAGAAACCTCACCATCGACAACGTTACCATCGTTGAAAACGTCACCATCGTCGAAAACGTCACCATCGTCGAAAACGTCACCATCGCCGACAAAATTACTAACAACATTTCAAAGTTACAAAGCAGCAATAGATAAATGTCCATTAGGTCTACCACCTACCAGCATTTGGAACATTGACGAGATAACACTTTATAATCCACCAGAAATATTAACCAAAGAAATGCAATCATTCTCTGCTGTCAGCTCTGAAAGTAATCTTACGATAATCTCAGCAGTGAATGCAGGAGGCGATACTATTCCTCCAATGATGATTTTTCCAAACGTCGACTATACGGATTTTGTACTTGATGGAGCACCTCCTGAAACAATTGGTGCTATGAACTCATCTGGGGGACCTAATGAGGATTTATTTTTGGAATTTTTTAGACATTTTTTACGATATGCCAAACCATCAAAGGACATACCTTGCATTGTGCTATTAGATAATCATGAAAGTCATATGTGTGCTCCTGTTTATCAATTGGCGAAGGAGAAAGGTGTAACATTAATAACCTTTCAACCATATGGGAGTCATAAGGTACAACCTATCGAGGAGGGAGTGTCTGAAGTCTTCAAAGTTTCTTACAACAATGCAGGGAAAGAACTATTGTCAAATCAGAATAATGTGGGTAGAAAACTGTATACACGTGACATCTCTACTTTAGTGGGTAAAGCTTTCGCCATGGCTTTCACATCAACCAATATAATGCAGGGATTCCGAGTCAGTGGATTTTACCCGCCTAATGAAAAGCGTACAGATCTTAAATCTTTACTCTCTGACGTGACTGATCGTTTCGCCGGGATTAATCAACGAGATCCGCGATTGAACCGCGAACGCTCATCGGTATTATACCAGGATGATTATACTGATGATCCACCCTCTTCTCCCTTCCAAAGGGAGGATCCTACCTTATGGTTAACATCTTGATTTCTAATAATTAAAGAAATGATATGTTTCCGTCAAAATGACTTAAGAAAAAGTTCTCATAAGATAAGAAACAAAAATCACGGACATTAGCTGGAACGTTAGTTTAGGGAAAACAATAATTGAAAAAATAATTAAATCAATGAATAGTAAGGAAATTGTCCCTACATGTAAAGCCAAAATCGGTTTGTAAGTAAATTCTTTCTGTTAGGAGAAAAATGTACACGATTTCTGATTTGTCAGATGAATCTGTTCATTTTTCTTCATCAGATCCTGAAGTTTAGTGGCCTTTTTGCATTTTCAAGAGAAGATTTAGAAAATATAAGACCAAATGCTACAAAAGAAAATGCATAATATTTTGAATATGACCAAAGACAGAAAATATAGAGTTATTTTTCTACCTTTCATATTTATTTTTTAGAAGTTTAGTTTTTTACTGAAGAGTTTTTAAAATATATTTTTTATTTATTTGTAAATTATTATTTTTTTATTAGATTTATCGCAGTCAATTGCAACCCTAACTGATTGTGATCTTATTAGTAAGAACTCGACAAGTATCTATTTAAATCATACAATGTATGTGTAATTAAATATCGAAACGTGAAGTGTCTAAATATAAAATATAGTCCAATTAATACTACATTAATCGGATATTAATATTTATTTCACTAATTAAAATTCTTAAATTGATGTGATAAAATGACTTTAAAACTGAGATATACGCCCAACATACATTATGCCGGAGTGGTACCTTGGATTTAAATTCATTTCTTTAAAAAGATATTAAAGTCATAGCAAGAAGTACTTTTGTTGACTAAAAAGAATTATATTTTATATCTGAATAGTGCTAGAATAGAATGTAGTACAACAGATGAAGTTAACAGCATTGGATATTATTTAAAACATCAACAGGTGAAGACATGAAATAGCTTTCTCTTTCTGCTGTAGAAAGATGAATTTTATGACTAAAGGATCGGAAGGATTGTTTCAGTCTATAACAATGGATTATATATTTCAATCTTTGTGTGTATACACAGAGAGCACGTTCTTTTTACAAAGTATAGTATTTTTTTTATGCACACTTCGACTCTTTCTAATACTTTACGTATTTAATTGTGCATTATATGTCACACACCCCCCACATATACACACATACGCGCGCGCGCGCGTTTGCGTAACTACCTCCCCCCTTCCCACACACAACGCACTCACACAAAGTGTTTATCGTAACGCATATTTTTCAAGGTATTTTCAACGAACACATAAACAAATGTAGTATACAGAATTACATCTGTCTCGGATGAGCAACAAATTGCAGTGAAGAAAAGTATCGATAATCTTTATTTTCATTAGATAATTAAGATTATCTGGAGTTTTTCAAATGTGGGACGGTACGCGATATTTTTACGCGATAACATTACAAGCAACACATTAACTGAACGGTTTGAAGCAGATATAGTCTTGGTACACGTTCTTTTATACGTTTATTGCCTCTCTCGAAAATCATGCGAGCTATTACGATGAACACTTCGTGTACATGTGTATATATATAAACATATATTTTTTCTTATATTTTATATATATATATGTACATATATATGTATGTATGCATGTATGTAAATATATATGGACACATGTACTACTAAATTATTTACTAAAAGCAAATAAAACTATTCAACATTCACGTGCACATTCGCATTCGTATCGGAGTATTCGCAGAAAGATCACGACTACTCGTAAGATCCCGTTAATGACTAGTATCAGCAAAAATTAACATTCGCTCGCGCGCGGGGGAGGGGGGTCGCCTGTTATTTTCAAATAAATCCTTCTCGTGTTTTTTCTCGTTTGCGAACGTTTTCGTTCAATAACACACGATTCGCGACACGGTTTGACAAACGAAAGATATCTTTCCGATGAAAAATTAAAAAGGAGAAGGATGATCGATACAACGATACAACGGTGGGAACATTTAGCGGTGTGTATAATTCTTTATAGCCGGTATATTTACAAGATGACCGTTCTTTACACTTAATTTCTACGACACCTCTCGACGCAAGCCTCGTAAAAATAATACGCTCCGAGCTAAGACACACAGCGTACGCTAGAAATATTGTACGCAGAGCGACCGAAGGGTTGCACGCGCGAGACTCGTCTGAGACTTTTGATCGGAATACAACTTGACCCAGACAGACATTTCGACATGTTATTTGCTCAATGATATCTGCTCAATGAGCTTGATGCTTAGCACAAGTACGTCTCCTGATATAACAAGAATTTTTTCAGTATCTAAGAAGTTATCTGATGTCATGAAAACTGCTACTTATTTTACTGAAAAGAGAACGTAATTAGCGTAATTAGAGAACGTAAGTACGTCTCCTGATATAACAAGAATTTTTTCAGTATCTAAGAAGTTATCTGATGTCATGAAAACTGCTACTTATTTTACTGAAAAGAGAACGTAATTAGCGTAATTAGAGAACGTAAGTACGTCTCCTGATATAACAAGAATTTTTTCAGTATCTAAGAAGTTATCTGATGTCATGAAAACTGCTACTTATTTTACTGAAAAGAGAACGTAATTAGCGTAATTAGAGAACGTAAGTACGTCTCCTGATATAACAAGAATTTTTTCAGTATCTAAGAAGTTATCTGATGTCATGAAAACTGCTACTTATTTTACTGAAAAGAGAACGTAATTAGCCCGCAATCATTGTACTGATAAAAAGTAAATATTTTTTTATTAAAATTATAGGTTTTTTTAAACAAACGTGTTTTAAAACACGTTGTGCTGTTACGATAACATCATGAAGTGTACGTTAAACGTTTGTATGCTATGCTCAGCATCTCTGTCTATCTGGGGAAGGCTGAAATTTCGATTAGCGAGAGATCTATTTCGTTCCGTCGATTACAACGCGATGAGATCAATGGGGACTTTTCAGGGACTCGTTACGATCCGGAAGCTCACTAATTCGTCGTCTTCCGAATCTTACGATCGGCATTTCGGTCGCAAACTGCACATCCTCCAGCCCTCTTCTCCTCAACTTTGCGCTCCTTCGCGAACATTTTAGATATATACAAAAAACAGAATTCGCTTATATAGGAATCGAGAAAGTTAATAAAGCACATCTGAGTATCATTTAGGCTAAACGCAGCGGAGTGTCGCGTATATCCTGGTCCTCTGTTTTTTTCTTTTTGCAAAAATATCATCTGCATTCGGTTCTTGACTTCCGGCTCGCATGGCCGGACGATTAGATGAGTCGACGTTCTTCTTTCTTTAAGTACAAAATATCGAGGAATCCTCTTCAAGATCGTCCCACTCGTCGACCATCTCTCGACGTCACTAGTGCTGGTCTCTCGTTTCTTCTCTATTCATGTTCTCCATTTAGTTTTTCCTCGGTATATCGGTATGGCAATAAACTTAGAATAAGGTATTCTCACCGCGTCAATTTTATACGCGCAAGAATGAGCTACTGCTACAAATTCTACAAGTTTCGTCACGACGTTGTCCGATGATATTCACGATGGCGAAACTTTGAACGGTTATTCATAATTAGAAAATCTAATTGGCGCAAATTTCGAAACTAACATGTACATATATTGATACAACGATGATTTTCTCGAGACGTTCTTCTCGTTTGTAATTGCGAACACAATAAATCGGACACGACTTATGCCGAATGCATCGCTTAATTAGCTGTTCCGATTGACACGCCCTCGAAAATGACGATAACTAATACGTTAATGATCTTCCAAGAGGTAATTATATGTGTTTGTAGAGTTAGGAAATAAGTTATACAAGTTACTTTTCTCCAATATCGACTCGGTAATGGCGTATTTTCTTTTTCTTCGTTAGTAACGGTAATAAAATGACATATTTTTAAATAACAATATTTTATATAATTGTTATTTAAAAAAATTATTTTTTACTGATAGAAAATTTTGGACTTTAACTTACTTTAACAGACGAGTTATTTTCTCAAATGAATAACTGTGACAAATTACTTTGAGGAAAGTAACTTTCCCAACTTTGGTGTATATGTATATGTGTATATATGTATATATATGTATATATATATGAGTGTGTGTGTGTGTTAGGACTGCAGATTAAATCGATGTGGAATCGTCCGTGTCGGTGTCGTCTCCGTACGGACCTCGAGTATCGGTTTTCCAGTCCGAAACTGCAGACTCCACGCCGACCTCGTATCTGTTCTCCTGAGCGTTACTGGACGGCACGATTCTCACGTAAGTGTTCATCACGCCTTTCTGCTCCGTGGCGGGGATCGTGATACCCTTAGCATTCCTCTCTTCGCAGCTGACGGACTTGGAACGGGGCTTCTCCTCGGGTTTCTTCGTCACCGACTCGATCGACTCCAGCGAGCTCTTCCTGCGACTGCTTCTTCGGTTGACCCTACCGGTTTCTTTGACGCCTGTACCGCCGCTGCCGCCACCGACGGTGGAAGTTTTCCTACCTATCTTGGGGCTCTCGTCCAAATATTTGCGAATCCACTTGGGGGTCTCGCTCGAGTACGCTTGCACCTTTTTCGCGTACTTGATCGGGCTCGGCATGATCATCGGCACGTCCGTCTCGATCACCGTCGTGATCACCTGCTCGTTCTCGTCGAAGTTGCTCTCCAAGTACTTGCGCTTCGGTGTGCCGCCCACACTGATTTTGCCCAACGACGACGAGACGCTCCCGTCGTCGCCGGTTTCGTAAGTATACGAGTAATGCTTTTGTATGTGCTTCGGTTCCTGCTGCTGTTGCTGTTGTAGTTGATCTTGCTCTTTCGTTTGATACTTTTCCTCGCTCATTTCCTGATTCCGTCGATTTTCCTCCTTCTCGATCCTCTTGAGTTTCTCCAATGCATCGTCAATCGAGTATCGCGGTGACTTTCTGCCACCGGTTGTACCAAAGTCCTGCAGCTTAACTGGCGTCAGTAACGATTGTCTGAGGTTGCCGGCGATGCTGTGTCGTTGTCGAGTAGGTGGATCTAATAACCGGCGCAAACTCGAGTTCCTGATCTCCGGCACAGACATTCTCTCCCTGACCGGGATCGGCGGTGGTTTGCCGGTGGTTTTCGATTCCGTCGTTTTCGTCGGCGACGGTGACTTGGACGACTTCCTCGGGAACGGGAAATCTGGCGCGAGGAAGCGCCTCTCGCCTGCTGGAAAAAGTGGCGATGTGCTCGCCACGAGCACACTCTCTAGACCCTCGCAAGTGGGACTCTTCAGTCGACTAGACGTTATGCCTGTCATCTCCTCGGTCTTCATCTGCTGATGCTCGAAGATCGGCGAGCTGGCGATCGGTAGCAGCCTGGACTTGCAACTGTCTTGGCTGTCCAGGCTGAAACGCTGCTTCGTCAGCTGACTGTCCAAGCTGAAGCGTTGCTTTGGCGTTCCAGCAATTAGTCTCAGATCGTTTTGCGTCTCCAGCTCCGGTATGGAGAATCGGTCGCGGTTGAACTTGACCTGCGAGGCGTCCCTGCCACTGCCGCCACCCAAGTCCTTCATGATGTTCCGGTATTTGGAACCGATGTCTAACTGAGACAGACGGTCGCGTTGGCAAGCTTGCAATGCACCTGGCACGAATCGCTTGTGTTTCAGGGGATACGGCGGCGGTGAGGGTGAGTGGACGCCAATGACGCCCTCGCGACCGCTGCTTAAGCAAGGTTGAGACAGTCGTTGCTGCCCTCGACCAGGATAATAGTCGCCGGTGACCAGAGTGGGTTGCGACAGTCGCTCGCGCTTATCCTGCCGCAGGTTGAACCTGCGCACGTCCGGCTGCGATAGTCTGGACGAACTCCGCTCCATCGTTAGACTTCCACGCGGACTGCCGCTGCCGCCCAGGGCGTGCACGTTCGGCGTCGACAGTCTCTCCTCCTCGTTGATGCTGTTGTCGCCAGAGGTAGCACGTAAGCTTGTATAGGACAGCCGACCGCCGCCTACGCGATTCATGCCGAAGAAGTTGATGCCGCTCAGGCTGGAGTTGAGGGTCGGTTGGGACATGCGGATGCGGCGATCCGGCGAGCCTGCCGATCGACGGTCGTACGAAATCAATAGGGTGGGTAGATTCGGCTGCGAATAACGGCTGCGTTGGCTCGCCGGCGAATAGCTCGGTGGGCAGGGTGTGGTTGAACGGGTGCCCTCGTAAGTGCCCGAGTCCTGCGACTCGATGCTGGACTGCGATTGCGGTGGCGCTTTCACCGGAGTGATGTGCAGATTCGGATGGGAGAGACGATTCCTGCGACCTTGACCTGGTCGCTTCAAGTGGTCGATCAGATTTGGTTGGGAGAGGCGGATACACGGGTTGGGGCGCCGGTTCAGGTACCAGAGGTCCCGGCGGGAATACGGCTCGCATCAGAGAGTACCTTCCTCACGCAAACGACGCATGAAGACCGGTCGCACGTCCTCGAAGAACGACGGCAGATCCAGCTCGGCGGCGCGAGCAATACCGCCATCCTTGCACTCCAGCCAATATGTGTCCATGAGACCTTTGCCCTGGAAATTGAAGTGCCAAATGAAGGTTGATCCTTTGGGTTCAAAGGAATTTGGATAGGTTTAATATAAAATCGAAATTTCGACTCGAAGTTATTTCCTAATCTTGGTGTAATAATTATAATGTTCTCGCGAAGATTACCTTTACGTCGACCAGGCCACGATGTTCGATCCTGAAACCACCCACCGCGTCGAGTGCCTTTTTCATCTCCAAGCTGATGTGAATTCGCAGAGCTTGGGTGAAATGCAAACATATATAACAAATTAGAATCATATAAAGAAATATAACGAAAGAAATACACGTGAAAATTCCAAATGACGAGATCGTGACGCGAAGAAAACTCGCAGGTTGCGAAATATATTACCTTCCCCGGTCGATTCCATGCGACTCGCCGTGTTCACGGTGTCCCCGAAGAGACAGTAACGTGGCATCTTGCTGCCGACGATGCCGGCCACGACAGGCCCGGTGTGTGCCCCGCTACGTATCTGTAGCCGTTCACCAGGACGTTTGGGTACTTGGAAGACGGATGAGGCCGCCAGCAGATCCAACGCCATCGTGGCGATCTCAGAGACGTGCTTGTCGCCTGTGAGAAGTACAACGGAAATAGCGAGTGAAACGTGAAATATTCAATGTTGTTAATATAATATACGCAATTTTATAATGTTTTAATATTAGGTCGTCATTGAATTTGGCCGCGTTCGATATTGGGACGAGCATGCATTCTTCAGATATTTCCCGGGACTTGTGTGTATCTACGGTTTTTAAAACAGACATAGTCCTACAGATTGGAGAGATCCTAGGAATTTATAGAAAAATACTTTGGCATCGAGCATACTTCGAGGTTGCAGGCAACAAGCGGAACTGGGTCTTGGGGGTTTCGTACTTTTACCATTTCTGACGGGCAGGCCGGAAGCGACCATGTAGGAGTCTCCAATGGTCTCCACCTTATAAACGTCGTAGCACTCGATACGCGCGTCGAACAGTTTGTAAATCGAATTGAGGAACGTCACCACCTGAAGAAAGGAATGCCCGAATCTCTCAAGCCCTTGTCAGACTAAGTATTGGAGATTGAAGATTACGGATTAAAGGCCAGTCAGATTCAACATATCGATCAATTTCAATGTTGACTCGTTTGTCCTGAATGATCAAATCCCAATTTTCAGCCCGCAATTTCGTAATCACCAATATTGGTTCGATGCAGATCTTATAACCTGTGTTGGATTTTATAACTTAGTTATGTTGGATACTCCGAGATAATAGGCAAAATTCTGAATTACTAAATGAAAGCCAAAACGACAATAAAGAAATGACGATGAAGGGAGGATAAAGACGACGCGACGGAGAAACGGATGAATTGCGAAAGTCGTTGCGCACGATTAGAAATCGCCGTGGTCTGTCTTGCGGGAATTCGTGCGGAATGTGTGCGCGATTTCATCATCGCGGCGACCGGGAACACTACGGCGATTCTCGCACAATTGATCGAGCTGCTTGAGAATCGACTGGTCATCCACATCATGAGTGACAAAAACGTACTTCAAGCGGTGTGTTCTCCGCGGCGATCTCCGTGAAGCCAACTATATCGCTGAAGTAGACAGTCACCGCCTCGTAATACTCGGCTGGTACCTAATGCACAAAAAATTGTTAAATTTGAAGCTCAAGGTACAAGGCACTTTAATGTCATGGAGATATTTCTCAATAATATTTCTGAATAACGGTGGCTTATTTTTTTTAAAGGATGATAAGTCGTTTTTAAAAGATAACTTTTACAACTTTGCTGAATGTTCGTCGAAGAAACTCAATTTCAGACTTACCTGCTGTGTCTGCTTGAGTTGCTGGGCCACGCTGGGCGGAAGCATCTGGAAGAGCAACGTGTCGCTCTTCCTCTTCTCGCGCTTGAGTTCACGCGCCTTCTGCGCCAGATTTGCGGCGTACATCTGTAATCAATCACGTACGTCAAGTTAATACTAAATCATCATGAGTAATAAATAATTAGAGTAAACACATTAGAGTAAACATTACTGACACCCAATTATTGATCGTCTTTAGTCACTGATACTAAAGAAGTCTGGTGTTTCTTGCAATGGCGGTTGTTCACAATTTTAATTGTAAAGCTCTCTTTTGAACTCGTTGGGCAAAAATATTTAACTGCAATACTAGTCGCACAAAAACCAGGACTTTTAGAGTACCAATGACTAAGGGAATGTCAATAATTGGCTATTTTATCCTATGTGGGGGTGTGTGTGTGTGATTATAATATATTATAATGATAAGTTATATTCCAGCGCTGATCGGAACGAATGAAAATTTCATTAGATGAAAGCAACGTGATTTCAACGCGTAGCCGGAAAGAGGATCGAGCAAGGTGACATCGAATCGCTTGCTGACACAAACCTGAATGGTGGCGACGGCGTTCCGCATCAGTATTATGATGATGGGCGACACCATCAACACCAGCACGACGATGGCAATTCCCGCGACTTCCTTGTTGCTCGCGTCTTGTAACGTCGAGTTGACGTAATTTCTGCGGGCAGATACGCCGCACGACACATGCGATCAATATGTGTTTCTCGTCTCCGATGGGACGTGCAATATAATATATACTCATGCGTGGTAAAGTGGATCAGTAATTAATTATTGGCAATAATCATTAGCACTCCTTGAATATATTGCTGAAACTGTTACCGAAGAAAAGGGAAGCTATCAATCCGTAACGCTTAATGAGCCTCGCCAAGATAAATCCGTAGGGGACAATTCCATTATAAGGATTTACCTTATCATGTAACGCAATTCCCGTTGCAGTTTACGCAGTTCGTCGATGTAAGTGGCCATCGAGTCGAAGTAAGCGATTGCATCGTCCACGCTCGGCTCCCTCTTTTGATTCCGCAGGATCTCGTCCCGTCTGAGAATGCACACACACACACACACGATCGCATGTTTAACGCACACTGTCGCGCTTTTATTGCGGTAATCTATCATCGGGCCGTTACGTCGCTCACGAAGGCGCGCTTTCGTTCATCGGGGAAAACACTTCTCCCAAATTGCCGCTCGCGAAAGCGAGCCAAGGAAAGATACCCTTTCCACTCTCCGCGAGGATACAACGGGAAATATTCCGCGACGTCAAACTCAGTTTCCTTCTCTAAAATTAACGACTCCCGCGCTCGCGCCGCTTTCACTCCCGTCCTCCCGTAGAACGCACTTTACCTCGCTCTGATCTTGTCGTACTCAGGCATCGTGCGCGTGAGCTCCTCGTAAAATTTCTTGAGGGAGGGCACGTAGGTAAGGGCCGCGTTCAGCAGATCACGTCCCAGCGCGTCGTGACGAACGTAGCTGATGTAATTGTCGCCGAGGAGAATACCGCGGCCGAAGTAATTGATCCCTTCCACGGAGGCGATGCCGAGGCTCTCGATGCTCCGCAGGAGGTTCTTGAAGGCTATCAGATACCTGCCGGAATATGGGCGAATTTCGCGAGTGAATTCGAAATTCCACTCGGGAAAGCGGAGTGACAGTTGAGACACTCGACTTTTTACCCCGCTCTGTAAATTTCCCACTCTGAATCGTCAAAGGTATATATCTTTATACGATATTTTCACTTAAAATTAAAAGTAAATTTGATTTACTCCTGGTTTTGCAGGAACAAGTTTTTTTTTTTAATTAATCGACTGAAATATTTACTGGTATAGATTGTGAGCTATGGTTCCTTATTCTGATTTAGAATAAAAGCATCAATTCCTGGGTACGTATCTGACTCTGGAGTTTGTTATTATTTTGGTCTTTAATCACGAATATTTAAACTTTCAACACAGAATATATGTATACATAGTTTTTATGTTGAAAGTATAAGTATTTAAAGACTGAAACAATAAGAATGTGACCAAAGTTAGATAAGTGTCCAGTTATTGGTACTTTTACCTCGTAAGCCAATCAGAAAGCTTATAAACCACATCTAGATTCATAATAAGGGACTAAAAATTTATACTGCATGTTTTGTACATGAAATATTCTCTGTTATGACTCCGTGCAATGGTGTTTTCGCTTTGAGTGGATTTTCAAGCATTTGGGGTGAGACTTCGTTACAAGAAATTTAGAGAAAACGGCATACGTATTTCAGGTAAGGGCCAATAGACTTCACGTCTTATCTCGCTGTTCCCCGCATGAGCGAGATAACCAAGAGATCGTAGGGTTAATTATCAAGGATCCCCGTTCTTTCAAGGAAAGAGATGCTGATAATTACCTCCACACCCCGCTGTTGTCAGTCTCCTTAATCTGATTAGTCAAGTGATCCAGCATAGCAGCGTTCACGCTGGTGTACCACGCCATCACCTCGCTAATACTGCTCTCCTCCGAGCTGATCTTCTGCCTGGGAAATAAACGAATGAACTTCGCACTCAGCTTGATCATAAAGCGACTTGCGTATTAGATATAATGGTCGATAGGTCAGGATCGGCCCACGGCAAGACGTGGTACTCCGAATCATGGATGTATTAATCGTGCGCGAAATTTAATCGCGTCGTCGCATGACGAAACAATTCGATGAACCGATCGAAACATGCGGTCTGACGGATCGTTTGAATAACGCCATGATGTAAAAAGACAAATAATAATCTTCATGAGATACTCATTTAAATATTTCTGCCAATCTTGTGTGTTTTTATTATATAAAATATTTATTATATTTATCTATAATAATATATGATAATGTGCCCGATTACGCGCAAAATTACGCTTCTGTTATATTATGATTTTCTTTGTGCGTTTACTGTTACGCGTAGAGTTCAGTTTACGATCAGCACTTAACGTAACTTCAAGCATTACGGACGTTTTTATTGTGCGCGGAGGCCCTTAGAAATAATAGAAGAACCACCGATCACACTTCAGTTACTTCGCGGCTCCGTTTTCATGATGGATTCTCGGTAGTGGACTCATAGTGGATCCCTGCCGAAGATTTCCATTGTTCAATACTCAGTTTTGCGCACACTTCGGGAATTATCCACGATTTCGAGGAGGATCTAAAAAAAAACTGACCCATGGGAAATCCCCCAGAGAACAGGTGGCGAGTCGCCTTCGAGGATATCGCTCGATAATGACATCGGCGGGTAGACCTTCGCATTTGTTACGAGGGTTTGATCAACGTGAACGTCGTCGTGCTGTCCAGTCGAGTTTTAACCATGAACAGAGGACCAGAGGGCAAGTGGAGTAGAGGGCGAGAAAGAGAGAGAAAGACAAGAGTCTAAAAATACTGTCTATTGCTCCAAATGGGCGTTCACGCGCTCATGTGTGACGACCTCTTCCATTGCTCATAAAGAGAACACGAGAGAGGAAGAGAGAGAAGAAGAGAGAGGGAGAGAGAGAAGTAGGGAGGGAGCCAACGCTGAGAAGAATGAAAGTTAAAGTGGGCAGAGAGGGACAGGAGGGCAACAGTACGAAGGAAAAGATGGATGGATTTATTACGGCCAGGATTGTCCGTCAATCAACAAGATACCGAAGAATAATCGCGGCATTCGCGAAGATATCGTAACGAGTGATCGGTAAATAAATTCGATCATGGAACGCGCCAACGGCTGAGAGCGGGAAGAGAGCGAGGACGATTTCAAGGGTGCGGGATAAGGGTCTCTTTGCCTTTCTTGATACAGCTATAAAATGAAAATTCCATTAGGATTTCTATGGAGAAGGCTGGCCTAAAAAAAGATGTCTCCTTGGAGGAATTTGTTACACCTTTCGTCGCATCGATCGTCCTGCCGCTGTCCGCGTCGATGTGCGTCCTCGTGAGGTTCTCGCCCTTTCCTCGCGGGCTTCTCCGCAGGAGAAAGCAGGGGGAGAGAGAGAGAGAGAGAGAGAGAGAAAGAGAGAACCGTGGGATTGTTAGCGCGGGCTTGTTACCGGCGTTTGCACCGGATGACACAAATGCGCTGCAACTGTCTCTTCCGTCGTATCCGCGCAATTGCGATCGCGGGATGCGATACGACTCGTGTGGCACATTCCACCCTCCGCCCTTATTTCTGCTTCTATTTCTCCTCTCTCTCTCTCTCTTTCTCTCTCTCGACTGGCTTTCTCTGACGGAGAATATATTTTCGATACCGTCGGAGATTCTCTTTGTACTGGGTGCTCCTATTGTTTTTCTTCTTAAGAAATTAAAAACGACAGCTATTTTCTCTCTCTCTCTCTCTCTCTCTCTCTCTCTCTCTATCTATCTATCTATCTATTTCTCTCTCTCTCTCTCTCTCTCTCTCTCTCTCTCTCTCTCTCTCTCTCTCTCTCTCTCTCTCTCTCTCTCTCTCTCTCTCTCTCTCTCTCTCTCTCTCTCTCTCTCTCTCTCTCTCTCTCTCTCTCTCTCTCTCTCTCTCTCTCTCTCTCTCTCTCTCTCTCTCTCTCTCTCTCTCTCTCTCTCTCTCTCTCTCTCTCTCTCTCTCTCTCTCTCTCTCTCTCTCTCTCTCTCTCTCTCTCTCTCTCTCTCTCTCTCTCTCTCTCTCTCTCTCTCTCTCTCTCTCTCTCTCTCTCTCTCTCTCTCTATCTATCTATCTATCTATCTATCTATCTATCTATCTATCTATTTCTCTCTCTCTCTCTCTCTTTCTCTCTCTCTCTCTGTCTCTGTCTCGCTGGGAGCCGGAGAGCCGGCTCTCTAATAGAAATAAAAGAGGTGCGAACAATTCGTACTTAATGAACCAATGTGTTTCCGTCAGATAACACATTCGGACATACTTGATTTCCCAAAGTTATCTTTTCTCTCTCAAATGGCAACGGGCCCCGCATCGCTAGTTCCGTTTATCGAAATTGACTTTCAATGGAAAGCACGGCGAGTCGCTTTTACACTGAAATGCCCGTTCACGTTTTGTGACCTTTACAGCTCTTTTTTAGATAGAACCGCACAGTTGTAGGTCGATGACGATGCATTCATATTTTTAATCGACGTAAAAGCAAATAAAGGCATGATATAAAAGAAAAAAAAAAGAGAAAAAGAGAAAAGCATATTTCGAGGCAACCTCGCCATTACGAGCGCGCGCGTGTCCTCGCAATTGAGGTCCCTGCTGCGGAATTTCGAGACACCCGTTACAATCGGCGGTGCACTATCGCGTCGGTAGCGGGTGGCCTCGTGCAAAATATTCTGCTTGTCCGTCCCGGCAGCGAACTGAGACCGGCTTTTCCATATCGATACTTTTATCGCTCTATCGATTTATCGGATATGTACGTGCCAACCCGCCTAGTCGCACCGTCGTTTTCACCCCGTGCGCTCGAAAGAGAGAGAGAGAGAGAGAGAGAGAGAGAGAGAGAGAGAGAGAGAGAGAGGGAGGGAGAGAATGTGTGAAAAAAACGTGCCTTTCATAAATATTGCCTCCGGGCGCAACGCATTGAAATCGGCGCGATTTCAGTGAGCTCATCCACAAAGTGCAATCGCGCTTCATGAGGTCATCGTACCTCCCTTCGCAAGAGAAACGGAAGGGTTGCGCGCATACGCGTCACACAATTCGTCGCGAGAAGAGCCGCGGACGCGATTTTGCCAAATTGATCAACGGAGATCCGACGCGAAACGCTTCTGTCGGTGATTTGTTCATCATGAACGCTGCGCTTTTTTCTCTTTGTCTCTCTTTTCCCTCCTCCTCTTTTTCTCCCTCTTTTCCTTGTAAAATATTTGACAGGTATTCGCGAAATATCCCGAGAACGCGCGTCTCCCATGCGCCAATTACACGTTGCAAGTTAAAAAAAGCCATCACCGGCATTTGCATTCGATTTTGCGAAGCGGTCCGTCGTCGTCGGGGCGATGAGGGATGAGGGTTAAATATTTTTATCATCGATCGATGCGACAAGTCGAATGCGACGCGCCGCCGGGGGGAGGGTTATTATAAAAGCGTGTGCACGTTCCCTTCTCCCCTCGCCCCTCTCCACCCGTCGGCATACGCGTTCTCGTCTCCTCGCCGCCACGCCTTTTGACCCTCCGTCGCTACATATAATTAGACGATAGGAAAAGGATTAATCGTGCGCGGCGTGCACGAGGGCGTTCCCGATTAAATTGCCTGTCGCTTAGTATGACGCCTGCCGAAATTGTGTTAATTAAATCCCTGGCTCGCGATCAGCGCTCCGTGAAGCGACCGTGGAAGTGCGTCGCATGGACACATCCGTGATTTCGAGTTCGGCAAATTAGTAGATCGCAAATTAGTAGTCAATATTTTGACGGAGGCACCGTCCTCGCTTGTTTGGAAATAAAAATAAATGATTCAGCGTTGAACGCGCGTCAGTTTGAAAAAAAGGAAAGACAAATAAAGGAGAAATCACTATCGGTGTTGTTATTGCATTAGCATGTCTCTCTCTCTCTCTCTCTCTCTCTCTCTCTCTCTCTCTCTTTCTCTATGTATATATATATATATATATATATATATATATATATATATATATATACATATTAAAAATGTCACCGAAATGTTAAACGTGTGGGAAGAGTTTAATCGCCGAAAAAATCCACTTGCTTCTTGAAACGTCAAAGCGAAGTCGCTCGCAAAACCACCCACGTCCCCCGGGGATGCTTCCACGCGCTCCCGCGCCATGTTTATGCGCTTCCGTCGACGGTATTTTCACGTGGCGATCGTTGACGGTGAAGATACGTTCGCGTCGCGTAGCGTTGTTTTATCATTCTAATTAAAGCCCCGAAGAAGCTAATTAAAAATATAATTAATTCTTTTTTTCTTTGGCAAACTCCCGCTTCGGCAGCCATGTCTCCTCGCTGGCAGCGTGTTTTCTTCACACTCCCGTGGCCCTCTCACTCTTTTTTTCTTCTTTTTTTAACGAGAAACAAAGGAGAAAGGACGCGCGTGTTTTGCCCTCCGCGCACCAACTATCAAACGATTTTATTTTACCATTTTCTCAAGGTGAGCTAACGCATCGCCTCGAGGTGCTGCTGCGTTAAAGAGGAAGATCCGCGTTCGCGTGCGTGCGTTGACGGTGATGGAGATGGTGACGTCGCGCATTTCCTTTTTCAGGGATCAACGGGAAACTGCAGCTTTTTTTTCACTCTTTCCTGTCTTCTTTCTTTCTTCCTTTCTCTGCCTGTCTCTCTCTCTCTCTCTCTCTCTCTCTCTCTCTCTCTCTCTCTCTC